CCCCCCCTAAATCCCCGGGATAACACACTAACACAGCGCGCCTCCGCGAAGGTTTGACTACGTGGCGCGGCGCTATAGCTCCTCAAGCTGCACAAAACGAGCAAAATTGTATTTCTTTCAAGGAAAAAAACACAACAGCACACAAACAAAAAAAAAGACAAACAGCAGTGGACTGGAGTAGCGCGTGGCGGGTCCTTTCCTTTCCCTGACGAGAGACACGCTCCGGGCCCCCCTTCTTTATTCCGCGCGAGCCTCGGGGTCCGCCCCCCCCCCCCCCTTACCAAACCCCCTCTCCCTCCCCCCTCTTTTTACAGGGCGTTCCGTTCCGTTTGCGCTGTTTCAGTTTTAATCTTGCAGGCGGGGAATGGCGCGGCAATAGAGCGCCCGCGTGACGGCCTAATGCGGCTTTGTTCCCGTTTGCCAATTAGCTTCACCTCTCTCTCTCTCTCTCTCTCTCTCTCTCTCTCTCTCTCTCTCTCTCTCTCTTCCACCCTCTCTCCCTGCCTGGGCCCGGAGCCCAGCTAGTTAGCCCTTGCCTTGCGCTAGCCGAATATTTACCCCGTCCGACAATGAGTCTGCCTGGGTCGGGCCGCCGCGGGGCTCCTGGGGGCGCAGCAGCGGCAGCAGCAGCGTCCCGAGGCACAACAAGGAGAGCGAAGCTCGAGCAGCCCGACGCTACCCGTCCCACGTAATTTGATTAACATCCTCCGCCTCCTCGATAACACACACACAACAACGAGAGAGAGAGAGAGAGAGAGAGAGAGCGAGGGAGAGAGACGCGCGCTTTGCAGATTCGGGTAACGTTCCGAAGCGATCGACGGAACTTTGCGGTAAAGTTAAAACAGAAACGTTGCAGAAGAAAAACAAAACAAAACACACAGTATACATGTAAACAAAAAAGGAGGAGAAGGGCAGGCGCAGCGTGGCTTGAACCACATTCCTGCGTGTAGAGTCGGCATGCCTTTAGTGAAAACGTTATTTTTTGTGTTTCCGATCGACGATCGATGCGACGGCCCGCCCGGGCGGTGAGTGATTTCGGAGCAGACAAACGCCATAACACCTCGTCTGGCACGTTCGCGTGTCACTTTATGCCGCGCTCGAGACAGCCCACGTTCGCGTTCACAAGGGAGCTAAGGCAGCCTCAGCACTCTCCCTCTCTCTCTCTCTCTCTCTCTCTCTCTCTCTCTCTCTCTCTCTCTCTCTATTCCTCTCTCCGCGCGCGCCTTTCCATCGCTCGCGCCGACCTATTGGCGGGAGCGCATCACGCTCTCCAAGCGGAAAAACAGAACAAAAACGTGCCTTCCTGCTGCGCCGCGCCATCCCCATGGCTGTATGGGGCCCGCGGCAGCACCCGCGAGGAGACATCGGCGGCAGGCCGAACTCCGGTGGGCCGTGAGTGATAGAGGGGCTGTACTGAGAGCGAGCGAGTGGGGGGCAAGCGAAAACGGGAGAGAGAGGAAGAAAAAAAAGAAAAAAAAGGGGCAGAGAGAAAAAGGGAGAAAGAGAGAGAGAGAGAGAGAGAGAGAGAGAGAGAGAGAGAGAGAGAGAGAGAGAGAGAGAGAGAGAGAGAGAGAGAGGCCGAAAGAGGAAAGGGGCAGGGCGGAGAAGGTGGAAAGTTTTCGGAACAGGGAGGAATTAGGGTGGAAGCGGCATTAATGCGGGGCAACGCAAAGGAGACAAATGCTCCAAAGTTCACGACATGCGGCGGCGGGCCGCGCCACCAGTGACACTCCCCTCCCCCGCCCCCGCTCCCGCCCTGGCCCCTGCTCGAGGAATGAATGTTAGTGGTGCTTCCAGTCCGAACGGCGGCGGCCGCGTGGCACGGCGCTGGGCGGGCAGGGCAGCCGCCGGGACCCACGCCACGCGGCGGCAGCGCGCGCGGAGCTTTTGCGCGCGGTTCTCTGGACAATATAAGTCTCCCCGCGAAAACTTCCTCCTGGCTGCGCGTGCTTGCGTGCGCCAGGGCTGGTGATGGACGTGCCTCGCGCGGGAAAAGCTTTCAGGATCTCCGTCCATATAAATGATGATGAAACATTGAATTTGCTTTTTAGCTCATATGGTTATTTTGGTTTTTCACATTAACAAATCCAATGAGGAGTCAAGTGTGCGTGTGTTCGAGCGCAGAAAAATCATAATCTAGATACGTGTAGTTTTCTATTTATTTTTTTATTCTTTGCTACTTTTACTCTTTAACACGCGTAAAGTGAAAACAGAGACCAACAGACCCATTTTCTACACCGTCGCGACGCTGGGACTGCGCCCATGGAGCGAAAATTGATATTAAAGTTCGAAAAGATCATTCCCCTCCACCGCTCTACCCCC